CCGAGATGTCCAACAATTATAACCGATGCAACCTGCATGAGGTAATTAAATATCCTTGATGCCACTATCGGTACTGTGAGAGCAACTGCCTTCTTCAGCTCCACCACAAAACCACCCCATGTTATTTCCCATCTCCTCGGCTCACTGCTCTCTGCCATGTCTCTTGAACTTAGAAACTTGGAAATGCCCGACTCTCCAAGTCATTCATATATAAATACTGAAGAAATTAAATAAGTGAGCAGAAAAAACTGAAAGAAAGGAATAATATTTTACAGTAGTGATTTTTGATAACAAAAATTTATTGTTAATTCTATAATGTTTATATAACACTAAATAAGTAAATGTATATTAAATCATGGGTTCCACCCCCAATTAATTAGAATAATTAAAAGATATGTCATATGTCATATTATATTATAAAATTTTATTATAAACATTATCAAGAAATTATTTTCTTAATCCTTTATCATTATATAATATCAAGATAGTTTTTTTAGTACATTTAATAATAATGAATTATATAAAAAATAATAACTTTTCATTTTTTTTAAATCTCTTTCTACCTTACTTAAAATTCAAATTTATGAAATCTTAAACTTAAAATTTTAATTTTTTAACCATTGAGTCACTCTCTTAAAGCTATGAGATAAAGATAATTAAATATATAAAAAGCTTTATATCTCTTATGTGATGTCTCAACTGCTTGAGAATTTAAATATTTATATTTGAGGTCTCAATTTCATATTCTGATTTGAGTGAAAACCTGTTATTATATATTTCAATATTATTTTAAGAATATTAAGTACATAGAAGGGCTTTATGGTTACCATACATGTCCATAGTTCTTCACGCAAAGCATCTTGAAAGGAATTCGAGAATTTCTTTGAAGAAGACACACTGAAGTAGTAGTGTGAAAAGACAAAAAGCAACTCAAGTGGCAAGAAATAAGAATCAAGAAACTAGGAACAGAAGAGGAATGGGAGAAAGCAAAGATAGGCAGCAGAAGAAGTGGAGAATTGGAGTATAGTGAAAGAAGAAACGTGTCGGGTACCGCAGACTTAATTAAATGAGTGGAAAGTCAGTGACGGGTCAGATACAGTTGAGGAACAGCCAACGACCACCAAGAAAGAGCGGTTTCTTTTTTATTTTTGGAAAATGACTAAACAGAAAAGCAGTAAGTCCTAAAGAAAAAAAGAAAAAAAATTATATTAATGACCTGTTAATTCAAGTAAAAAAAGATTGATTTTTTTAAATAAAATTTTGAATTCGAATCTTATGAATTGAGAAATAAACACTTTTTACGAGATTTTTTTACGAAATTCAACCCGATTCAGTTCTGAATTAATCAAGATCCAATGTAATTACTGAATATCAGAGTTCAATATCCAAACAAAAAAAATTATAGAAATGGAAATCGATGATATGAGAAAGGATTTATTAAACGATGAAAAATTAATAATAATTTGAGAGCAGAAATTGTTTTTACAGCGTCATATTATATCTCTAGCAAATGGCTTTAACCTTGATTAAATGGGTGGAATCCAATCGTGAACATTTTTTGTTTAAAAATGATTTGTTAACTGCATTTATTAACATCAAATTCTCATAACATGCGGTAATATGGTTTTTAATTATTGGTTCTGAATTGTCACTTGGGCGGGACGGAAGAATTTGTATGTATTAATAGGCCAGGTGGCGATGACAACACTAGAGAGAGAAAGCTGTGTCCGAAGTGTCTGACAACTGCAGCCGATCCGACCAGCGAGCGGAAGGTACTGAATACCGTTGCTGTCACCACATGGGTGCTGCAAGACTAGCAGCCTTCTTTAGCTCGATCCACTAAACCACCCCACATTACTTCCCACCTCCCCCCTTCACTGCGATAGCTCTGCTATCTCTTCAGCATTGAAATACCTTAGTGTCCAAGTTATCCCTACTATCCTATATAAATGGCTTTAGCTTTGATGAAATAGGTTGAACCAAATGCTAATATTTTTAAGTAAAAAATGATTCCTCGATGTTGGTGGGTGGCGGAATATATGGAGTCGTCATTTATTTAAATAAAATGTGACATGTATTATTTGATTGTACTTAAAAATAAAATTGGATTCAAAAATTATACATGTTATAATTTTCATAACTTTGATGGAATCCAATTCAAAGCAAACATTTGATCCTCACAAACGCTAAATAATATTCATCCATCCAAGGCATCAGAATCAGAACATATCTCAAAATAAGAAACTACCATATCAAAATGAACATGCATTCACACACTGCATCAAAGGCCATTTCAAACCATGAATTTCACTTCCATTAAAGAAACGAGAAATTGGAACCGAATTTGGGAGTCTTATAGAAAACCAAATGCAGCGCATACAACCAGGATTCTCGGACAATAAATCGATCAAACAGGCATAGAAACACCTCATATTGGCTCGTGTGCCCAATGCATATATATGACCAGATTATGTGAAACGAGACAAGACAACAATTAAACATATACGCTAACTTAAACAGAAAATTGCAGAGAGAAGTAACATCAAACATGCTTTCCATCATCAAAAAACCTCACCAAAGTCTGCACATTCACATGAAACAATTTTGCATCTTAAACCTGATCATGCCAGTAAAACATTTTGCAGAACTAACAGATGAGATGCATATATCAATTGCAAAAGTACCTTCAGATTGTCGACTGCTGCTTCAGATTCAGAAACCATATTTGGAGCCTCCAAAAATCCAAATTGATCAGCTTTGCAGCCTCCCAACTTTTATGTGTACAGTTCTCTTCCTATGCAAATCACTTTCCCCGTATATGATCATACAAAAGCAAATTAAACCAAAATCCCAGGAATCGTGAAATTTTTCAAACTCCTTTTTTCGTTATCTTCACCACTAAATAAATATTACTTATAAACTACATAATAAACCTACACATAATTGATAATTGAGAGTATAGAAGATGTGATTCATACTGTTTTTGGTGATCGGCATGGCTTTCCGCAAGCAGTACAGTTTCGGTGAGCTACGCGTGCTCTTGAGCTTCCTGTAGGGCGCTGCAGTCCCAACACTTGAAGGGTACTCCGGCCATTGACGACCGATCCTGCTCTGCAGGTTGACGACTGGATCGAGTGATCAATTAGGTTGCAGAAGGGAGTCACGTACGGTACCTGATTTTGTTCTTACCTTGTTTCATGATGGGCCTTTTTCTTTGTTTTTTTTTTTTTTTTTTTATGTGCCGTGATGGCTTTTTATGGGCTTAGCGAAGGCCAATTTTTAAATTGTTTTGGTCGGTGGGTAAAGTAGAAAATTAAGAATGCGAGGCAGGGTTGGTGAGCATTGGCTACCATATAATTTATTTATTTAGAAAAGTATTAATATTTAAATTGTAAAA